CGGATTTCTAGTGCATTTTGGCCAGAACCACTAATTTTTATGACGTTATGCTTATTCGTCTGGCCAGCTCCCTAACTGCCAGGCCATCACTCACTGACGTCTTCGCTTAAGTGCAGAATACCTCTGCCCTCACTTTCGTCTTTGCAAACCCCTTTCCTCCTGTACGCAATCACATGCGGTAACATTGCAAGATCAAATATATGAGCGTTTAGGGGATGATGCAGCTGTTCAGTCACAATTGCACCCGTTTCATGCTTCATCTGCAGCCATTTAACTTGACTTTTCAACAAACTTTTAGACAAAGCATAGGATACCCAACTGAAACATGAGATGTCTAAGTAAGTGGATCAAATTGGACTATAAGAAATAGGTATGCTTGAAGCCGGCCACATTTCTTGCCTTCGTGTTTTTGGTGAATTATTGTTAAGCATGGCGTCCTGCTCTGACGATGTCCGTCATATGGCGGACGAAAACTGAGCAAGGATTCATCGAGGTCGCGGGGAGGTATTAGCACAAATCACAGTAACGGCTCCAATGCGATCGCCCTAAAGCTGCCGGTGAGGCTAACTTACGAATCCCTTCCACCTGCCCCTTAAAACGAAATGAAAGGTACGCCAATATTAATTTATTAAATGATTATTCGAAAACCACTTTCTATAAAATCCTATTAAGCCTGCTATTAGAGCCTTGGAAGAGAAAGTATATGAATCAACATACTAGTGGTAATAAAACTCCCAGATCATGTATTATGTAAAAAGAAAAATTGTCAAATTTTCCTATGTCAATTGCAAATCAGTTTATTTAGCCAGTCTAAGCTAGCACAATAATCAAAAGAAATTCGGACTCAAGTAAGGTAAGGAAGCACAATAACTATGCCTTAATTGTAGATATAAAGGAAATTGGAAAGAATATTGCCTAATTAGTCACCTGATTAATTGATGGGCAGGCGATGATCATTCTCTCCTCATCTGAATAGCTATTGGCTATCAAATGTGCGACTTGAGCCCATTTGGTCAGCACACAGGCTTCGATTCGGCGCATTAGGATCGCCTCTGTGTCAGGATTGGCCAAGTAGATATGTATACAGGCCTGCAGCTCTGCTAAACTGGGGGCAGATGACATAATAGACCTGATAGATTTTGATGGGGCAGTTGAGCCTCTGTTTACGGAAGGCAGTCGAACCGAGAGTAGACGATAGGCAGCTGAGAGAAGGTCGCGTAATTCAGTGGGCTTAGCGATAACTGGAACTTCACACGAATCGTGAGTGGATTCTGTTTTAGTTTCAGCAGGATCGGAAGCAGACAAATGGCGCGAACTAGACTTGGCCTGATTCCCCCGATAGTAATTGAGAGACAAATAAAATTTCAATGAAAGAAATTAAATGGAATAATTGGCAAAGCGTGGTAGAAAACTGATATTGAACTAGACTCAGAACAGCATAACACCTAAAATAGAATCGAATAATTAATCAGATGCAGGCATGACCCATCAGTTATGAAAAGAAATATTATATGAGTTTAATAAGCAACTAAGTACGAGCGTAAGGGTCCATGAAACAAGATAAAATAAGGTATGAAGAAAAACTGGATTTAAAATAATTTCTTACTGACATATTGTGAAATAAATTTCCATTTAGAATGAAAAGTTGGTCGGAAGGAATTCGTTATGTGATCTCACCGTAAACTGAAGGAAGATTGTCACATTATGAAGACTTTTGTATTGTGCAAAAAGTCCTCGGTTCAACGTCCTGTGACCCCGATGAAGCTTTGCCAAACTTCGGTCTGCACTATAACAGACACTATCAGAAAATGAATCCATACTTCACGAAATGGAGCAAAAATATGCTAATCCAAGAGAAAAGCTGGTCGGCTGCAATCCTAGTCGCTTTTTATACACTTAACTTAACAATCTTAATAAGGCATCTCATGATTTGGTTGACTACTTCAACCCAACTCTATATTGAGGTTGTTTGACCTTGTTTTCACAACATGGTCATATTGGTAGGAAGACTTACAGGAACGGAACTAGTCCGGAGTCCATTGTGTGCATAATAATTTCCAGTCGGACCGTGGACGTGGTACACTACAACTGCTCAGAGACAAGTGAAGCAGTTCCTTTGACCAAACGTGTGCTAAGCAGTTGTTGTATCTCTCCTGCCTTGGGCTATTCACATTTTCTATATCCTCGTATCACGCCTTCACTGTTACCATTTTTATCGTGCTTATTTAGATGTAGTGTGGTGTGCCCTTTTGAGCGACATTCATGAGAACCCTCCGCACTCGACTCTAACGTTCTTACCCTCCCTTCACCCTTATGCTGGGAATGTTGATCAGTGCGCCATATTGTTACGCAGTCCTCCTTCCCTAGGTCTTATCAGGGTCTTCGTCTTGTCCCGTAGAATCCGTCTGCTATCTCCGTAGTTCACGTATTTCACTCGAGCCCTGCCACCCTACTCGATGCGTTATTACCCCTCGCCTGCGTCTGGGTGACTGATTCGAGGCTAAAGCCCCTGATTAAGTTTCATGGTCAAGCCATTGTTAGATGGACCACGTCTCTGGTAAAATCTACTATCAGCAAACTAGCTCTACTCTCCGCCGCCACTATCCTGTTTCTATCAATAATACCAAGTCTATGACTTCCTAAGCCCTAGTCTATTGTGTGCCAACCCACAAATGTTGTGGCACTGCCTGCTTTGAATAGACTCAATGTTGGACCACAATGTTTTATTGGGTTGGCACACAAGAGACTGGGGCATAACAAGTCATCGAATTGTTATTACGGATATAAATATGATGGATACGATCGAGACTATAGATAGTTTACTAAAAATAGACGTATTTCATGGATCACGTCTATGATCAAAAACGTCAATTGTTATCCAAATAGCTCTAGTCTCCACTGCGTCTACCATAATACCATGTCTATCGCTTCCAATTTCCTAGTTTCTTGTGTTCCGACCCACAATTGTCGTGGTTCAACATGTTTTGATTAGGCTCAATGAAGACGTGTCCTCTGCTTCTGATTGTTTCTTTCTCGTCGCACTTCGATCTCTTTTTCTAAAATTAAGGATATTACTTTGATCCAATCGTCTTATTTTTGCTGATCTTATTGTTGCCTGGTCTTCTCCGAGTTTGTTTAGGCAATATGCAAAGTTTTCGCTGATCCTGCTTTCTTCAAGTTTCCCGCTAATTAGATTTCTCTCGATCAGAATATCGATGGTCTCTCGGATCTTACGTCTTCTCGTATTTTCATTATATGCAGCCAGCATTTCGGTCGATTTCGTGCAATGTGTTCCGCAAAATCGAATTTTTTCATATCCATGTTCCTGCAGTCCTTGATGTTCCTTGATTCGTAGGCCGATTTTTCTTCCTGTCTTATTGATATACTTCTGCTCACAGTTGCGGCATTTGATGCTATAAACTCTCGAGCAATCAAGTTTGTAAGTCTTCTAGTGTTGCGTCCGCAGCCTGGTGAAAAAATGTTTCCTCCTTTTTTGTTATCACCTTGATATCGCATTTCCTCAGTAATGGTCGCAATTTTTGGCTCAGTTCTGATGAGGGCAGGCAAATCCACTTCTGGTGGTCCTCCTGATTCCGGATCTGATTTTCATAAAGTCGAAGTTGAAATCTCCCTTAATAACCTCTACATTTATTTCTATACATTCTCTGGGGTACCCATTACTAAGGCAAATCAGTGTCAGTTTATCCAACTCCTCGTCCCAGAACTCAGTGTGTTAGTCGTAAGCTTCTGATAATAAAAGTCCTCAATATTCCTATCTTCAGTCTGTAGTTATGGTGAGACTGGAAATTAAGGATACTTTCCATTTTCTCCGTGTATTGTTTCTTGTCCATTACAACCGTCGCCCCCCCTTATCCACCTGAAGAACTATCTTATCATTATTTTGAAATTTTTTCTGAATACCAGCCAATCTGCTCCTGTGTATCGGTTCTTGATGTCTCATGATCCGTGGGACTATTTCCAATTGCATCTCCCGCCTTGTATCTTCTGGAAATTTATCCGTTATGTTGACAACTTCCACCAGGATATCACTA